ATTTTAAATTGAGAACACGCACGTGGGCGTGTCTCAGCCAATCAGAGATGTCACGCACTGCGACACGGTGACAATTCCGACCAATGGGAGAGCTGGGAACGTTGCGGTGACATTACCGACCAACCGGCTCGCTCGAAAATACTTTTTGAATTAAGAATTACATTCGCTATGTAGAGTGGGAGTTTCAGGATTTGAATGCTGAAAGTTCTATATTCAAATAAATAGATACCTTATATATTTTTTCTTTGTCTCTATATTTAATAAATAGATTAATGTAAAAAGTTTTCACGGACAAAATAGTTAAATAGTCAAAAGTTTTCTTTGGTTGGGAAACTATGCATTGGCGTTTCAGTATAAAATATCTGTATTTATTTGTTGCTAACTGAAATTTCTATTCAATATTATAACTATACCTATTACGATTAGGAAAAGGTGATGAAGAGCTTGCTCTTGTTATTATTTTGTGATATTGATTCAAATTCAACGATTTTCATGTCACTACATATTTTGCATTCCATTTCTAAATCTACTAAACACAAAAATACTTGCTCTTAAATATTTCATTTCAATCAAAGCCCTATAAAACTTTATAACTAACATAAGTAAAATGGAGACAAAAAAAACGATAGCATTAAGATTAAAAATACTCTAGTATAACTGTCGTGCGACACTTTCAACCAATGGCGTCGCTCTGGCTTATCATTGGCTAGCAACGTCACTAGATGTCACCGAGTGAAGAAATGTCACAACGATAGAACGAGACGGAAATATATACACTATCATACAGAAATACAGGTGAAGAAATTTAAAAAAAGAACAAATAGTGTCATTGTATAGTGTTCAGACGAAATAAAAAAAAATTACATTCAGCCAGCATTTTAGGCATAGTGATTTCACAAAGGAGTTTGGTTGATAAAAAAATATAGATGGGAAAATTATAGGAGGGAAAATATTAGATAATTAATTAGTTAAAAAACGTTTTAAATATAATGTCTGATTAAATTAAAATGTTTGAGTATTTTTTATAAGTATATCGTGTTTATATAAATAATATTAAAATATATTGTAACGTGTTGCGTGAAGCGTGCTATTTATTTATCAAATTTAGAACAATTTGATACTGACGCGAGCTTCTGATTAAAATCGATATTGGATCAAATTGGACTGAATTTACTGTTCAGCTTCCGTGTGGGAATTTTTGCGTGTTTTATATCATTATATTTAAATTTACTATTTTTTATAATATTACTATAGGTATGTGAGTTAGTTAAGTGGTTAATTTGGTTATGTTATGAAATTCAGTGAATACCTATAGATATCTAAATGATGCTGTCAGGTAGAAAGATGTTTTTATCTATATCTAAGAATTAGATATAAGCCACTTATCTATTTGGAACTAGATTTTTATAGCTATGTTTATAAAGAAATAGTAAATAAGTACCTAGGTGTTTGTAGGTAGGGAATGTTTTGGCCAAATGAAGGTTAGTAGGTATAATATCTACCTACTTTTGAAAGAAAACACAAATAATGTAAATATGAAGACAAATAAAGGATTTTTCTGAACACAATACTAAAAACAGTAGTTTCGTACAATAATAGTTTAAACTACATAAATTAATATTAATATTAAAATTTCAATACTTACTATGTGAGTTATTCACAAATTAAACATTATAAATTTAAATTAAAATCGTTCAGGCTTCTGAATATTTGGAATTTTCAACAAAATACGAGCACACGACAAACAGTTCTCACGTTTTGTCATAGCCATGGGCCAGTAATGATAATGGTTAAACAATTTAAAATATTTTATTTAAATTTATACAAATATTTTATTCATCTCATATAATATTGAAATTGTACCCAGAAGCGTAATCAAATAATATATTATGTAGAAGAAATTTTAAGTATTCCATAGCTCTGAGCAATGTTTGAAATTCGTCTCACACTTGTACGATTGTTTGTGGAATTTGAATATGGAACAGAAGGCATTCGAAAAATTGAGAAATTTTCAAATTTGGAACTCGAACAGTCACGTTATTTAGTTCACACGGAATGACTAATGAGGTATTTCTTTTAACGAATATTTGGTTGTGGTTGTAGGACTTAAATACTCATTTATATGTAAGTACTTTATAACTATGTCTTCTAAATATTAATAAAAGATAGATTACTTTTATATAACAAATTAATTCGATATATATAAATTATTAAGAGCATACGTGAATATATTATTTTTGAACAGTCGTTCGTTGGTAATATGTTCTTTATATTTTATTATAAATAACATGTAATACTATAATTGTTATATAAATGTCCGTTACAACAATGGCGTCGCGTGCTATATGACAGCTGTTCGAGATTCCGAATTCAAAATAAGAATATCCTCGCTTCGATTGTTTCGCGCCTACCCCGCGGCTAGTTGCGTGACGTCTTTAGAAGAAATACGTGCGCTATAACTTATTGCTAATAAAGGGTTCTTATATTCCTTTAAACTGTCTGCATATGAATATGGACATTCGGTTACGCACTGTGTAGGTATACCGAACGAATAACACGTACATAATAATTGCGATAATCATGTAAAATCGAACTATTATTGAACAGCGGCTAATTGGCTGAATCTTTGTGTGCCAGTTCAGTTGACTCTACCATTTGGCGTGCATTAAAAAAAATAACACCTCCTTTCATCTATTTCACAGTCGCATCAAAATATGTTATACGTTACCAAGAATTATTTACATCCAAATGTCTAATATTAGGATCGATTCTCCAAAATTCACAAACCGAATTTCCTATGGTAATAACCTGGCTCCCTAAGAAGCCGTACTCATTAACGGCAAATAAGAAAAAAAAAATAAAAATTAAAATGCTCTAGAAAGCCCCATTCTTAACTTTTCATATTCAAATTTCGAATTCGTAGGGCTTGTATACACTGGTGTTTTATATTCCATTTATAATGATAATACCTACCAATAAGTAATTTGTTTTGAGTAAAAATTAATTTAACATACCCAATCATTAATAATTTCGATGATATGTTAAGGCGAAAATGAAGGCTTAAATCTTTATAACTATGTATAAATTTTTAGTTCATATTAAAAATGTATACCTTATGTATTGAAAATAAAATATATTTTTTAATAATAATATAGCAGTCAGTGTGTCCGCGGCCTTATCAAGTTCGCGTGACGATACTTTTTAAACATAGAGCGTCGTTCTTTTTTCGAATTAGAAGTGTTCTCTTCAAAACAAATTGCTGACAAGCGAGACGTCTCGATTCTTATTTTGAATGAGCCAACCGCAGACCCCCGCCCTGACATTGTGCGATCGTTCCTAATTCAAACCTGTACATTGGACTTACGGTTTCAGTCGTCTGACATGTGTTGGAAAGAAATTAAAAAAATAGTCTATTTGTTCAGTTTATTATATATATTGGACTTATAGTTAGGATCTTTGTCTTTGAAATATGATTGAAACTTAAAAAAATATTTGAAAAAATGTATATGTAGACTCGAAATTTTTTCTGATACGTAGTTATAAATTTGTATCGATAAACATAATCGTAACGTATAGGTACATCCCTATCGATGTATAATAATTTATGTACATACTAACCTACTTAAACATATATTTATTAGTTATTTTGGTACATAATTGGTGCGATATTACATTGGCTTAATGTTATTCAAGCGTGTTTCCAATGCAAATGCTCTTGATGAGAGTTGATTATGTAAATAGAGACCCTCAAATATAAGTTAGCTACCGGAGTACAAATAATGTATCGATTAAATAATAATCGATACATTAAAAATATATTTATTTTGAATTATCTACCTACATATGTACCTATTAAATTTTCAACTATTTTTAAGTACGTACCTACCTATAGTTTTTCATAATATATTTCTAGAACTTTCGTCACACTATCAACCCTATCTTAAACCCGAGGGTATTAACAACATACAGCCAACGTCAATTACACAGACTATAATCAATTACACCTGATAATGTTGTGTTTATATATTAATGGCGGTCTGTAGCGTGTCACGCGACGTCACCTCGTCCACCAAATGTCACGTCCACAAAAATAACGGTTGACAATCGATACATTGTTACAGCAAATCATTTATTATTAAATAGCAACCGCCATTGATGCGTGATACTGTATAGCGATGTCCTTTGTCTTTTATGTGACATTTAGAAAAAAAAACTAAATGTCATTCGACGTTAGACATAAAACAATACTGCACTTATATTTTTTTAAGTTTTTTTTGTTATTTTTGTCCTTAATTAAGAATGATATATTTATTTTATAAGAATTAATATTAAGTAAGAGGTTTATTTGATTTAATTATTATTATCAGGTGAACAGAAAACTGAGATTTTTTTAATATGCTATTTTTTATAACTTTAGGTATAGTAAATTGTATGAAAATGTAAAGCATTAAAAATATATTGTTCACTTATTAATTTGTTTTCACTGATCAATGAATATGCTTAATTTCTTTTGTAATAAGACAAATTAATAAAAAAATCTCTAGTTAGCGTTACTTTTGAGACGAATAAAACAAAATTATGTTACTTTCAATATGAACTATGAGCGGGTATATTATAGTGAAAAATAAATACAAAAAAAACATATAATAATTTTAAATGTTTTATTTACTCAGTAATGTTTGGCAAAAAGGAAGAATATTATAAGATGCTTATTCTTAGTGCACACCGTACTTATTGTTAATACTTTTTGGTACTTAATTATTAATAATTTTATGTAACAAAAAAAAAAATTACATTACAAGTGAAATACATAAAAGCTTATTTACATTTTAAATAATAATTTCGTTGTTTAGCACCAAATCTAAGTAGTAATTACAATATATTTGATAAATACATAGTTCTGTATACATTCGTAACAAGACAGACGAACATAGAGTTTACAATGTTCATTACAGAATAATCACAAACAGACCTACATACAATCAATCATTGTTACTATATTATATACATTTATTGCACATTATTACTATGGAATGTCGTATTTTTTTACAAATAATTAATCTATTATGACTAATTTCAAAGAGACTTATAATGAGCTTTATATATTTACAAAGCCTTACGGGCTTAGCGATAAGCATGAGAATTTAAGGTACTGGTACGATCACAAGGGTAGTGGGTTTGATTACAATGAGGTCACGTGGTCAGTTGGAGACGGCTGGCGTGCTTCTCACTGTGGAGATTCCTCTTACTCCTTGAGAAGAAGGCCGCGGTACATCCACCCACTGAGCATCTATGAAGAAGCTGTGAATGGACGCTCTCACAATGTAATTTAAGGCAGGATAAGTCTTTAAAACTATCTCTGCATCCCCGACATGGGTAGTAACCGTCTTTATTCTGATGAGGCGCCTCGTCTTCTACGCAATAGTTCAATTTCAAGGATAATGGAGGGGAACAGTTTTGGTTTTGATACGCAAAAGAGTTCAGACCGGGCGGTAGAAACCCGAATGGTAAGGGAGGAAAGTTTGGAAGCATCCCGAAAGGCGTAAACAGAAAGGGATGCTGACTAAACATGTCGCGACCGTTCAAATATGTTTCGGGCATCGGAATAGTTGGGTACGGCGCTCCGAATGGCATCTGTCCTAAATAATTTTTTGGTTTATTCAATTCTTTAGCGCGGTAATATTTTTGTGATTCAATATAGGGCACAGCACGTTCTTCTTCGTTGAATTTTAATATTATATCTATCTGTTCCTTTAACCTTTCCAATACACGGGATTCGTCGTGAATTTTCTGATCTGATAGCAGTCTTCTGTGTAGATTAGCATTGGAATTGTGTCGATCTCTGTTCCGTCTAGTCGTGAAGGCTGCCTTGCATCCTTCGTTGTTGCATCTGTACATTACTTTGAGATGCACGTTCTGGTAGTGAGTTTTAAGTATGTATATGTTTTGGAATAGCTTATCGCAAACTTTGCATTTTAGAGGATTGTCAGTATCTATGGGGACGTCGCTGGTAGTTATAAAGAATCCGTTGTCAAAATGTCCGTATATCTGTCCGTGGTTGTCATCAGAAGTGTAGTCGTAACTCGATACTGATGAAGACGGTGATCTATCAGAGAAGTCTGTGGAATCGTTCAAGCTCATGTTGTATGAACCCAGTTGGTTGTTACATTCAATTTTCTTCGTAACACTCGGAAAGTCCCCCTTCGAGAGACTCTCTAATCGTTTTAATGAATTTTCTGTTGAGAACTCATTATTGGTTTCGTCAAATCTTTCATGTTTTGTTGTCTCGCACTTGTCTGTAGCTTCCTCTTTGACCCTTAAGTCTTGCGGCCCAAAGTTCATTTCGCCGTTGTCCGTGTCCGTCGTGGGTTCTTGTTTAATTTTAATGTTAGTTCCGTTCTCGCATGGTGCGTTATAATTAGTACCATTAACATTCTCTTCGCATTTAACTCGTTTCAAATTCAGAGCTTCGTCATTTTGGTAGTTATCTTGCTTAGTGTCTTGTTTGTCGTGATCATCACTTATGTAGTTCTTTTCCAGTCTTGTTGGGTTAAGGTTTTTACGTTTCCTTTTTATAACCTCGGGGCTCGTTGTCTCTTTAATACTGTCTGTGTTTTCGTTATTGTCGCTAACGCTTCTTTGGTCGTATTCGTTTTCTGAATCGTCCATTGAAACTGATGATTTATTGAGGCTCGTGTAATACACGTTAGTTATATTGTCATTATCATCATCATCATCATCACCAGCCACGACTACGATGCCATCATCTTCATCTGAGTCTCCGTGACCTTCGTGATCTTTATTTTCTACTGAACTGGATTCCCTTCGCATGTGTTGAGCCTGATCCAATGTTTGTGAGAAGTTAACGTTGCTTTTGTAATCAAAGAGCATGTTGGAAGCGTGCTGTCTCATGTTATGAGATGAATTAAGTATAGGATATGATCCGAACGGATGCATAGGGTTCATGACTGGTGGTATACTCAAGCCGCTGCCCGGAGGAGGAATCAGTACAGGATGGGCTTGAGCGCTGCGGCCGTCGTGAGGTGATATCTTTCGCCTCAAGTGTGGTGAATGTAACTTAGGATTGGGGTTAGCGCTGTGTCTATTCCTAGATCTTCTTGAACTGAACATCATGCTGCAGCCTTCGACGGTACATTTATGCATCTCTCGCAGGTGAACAGCAGAAAAATGTATTTTCAAAGCACCTTTATCACAGAATGTCTTAAGGCACACGTTACACTGAACCCGTTTCTTCCCAGTGGCGGGGTTAATAAAGTGTGTTCCTAGGTTGAGAGGCATCTGGGACGCGCCCCACTGCCTCTTCGGTGGGCTGATACACTTTCCTAACATCATATCTCTCGTTTTATTTGCATCACTATAGACGTCTTTGCTTAAATTGAGAACATTTTCATCGTCTGTTCTAACATTTTCTGATCTCTGTTTTGAAGATGAGTTTAATCTACTCTCAGGGTTTTCTACAGTTTTTGATGATATTTGAGGTAGAAGAGCTTGTAAAGATGCTAATCCCATGGGATTTTGGCTAAGTGCAGCTACCATCGCTGCCGGATGAGAAAACGTCGAAGGTATTGATAGAGGTTGCATAGGAAGGTTTGTTGGGAGTTGAAAATTAAAAAATTGATTTCTCATCACTGCATCCACGGCTGCTTTTTCGGCTGAAGATATATTACCGTAGCTAGACTTTCTTTCTTCTTTGACGATATTTTCGTTAATCTTATGCTTTCTAAAATCGAACGGTTGCATGTTTTGTAGATGGTTTAAAGGGGAGGAGTTTACTGGACTGGTTGTGGAAATACAACTAGACGGGGAGGACATATGAACACTGCGGTTAGGTGAAGCCTCGGCTGATGAATGATGAGGGGACAGCTTCTGTTCGGGTGAGTATCGATTGTATTTAGGGGATAGTTTCTCTTTTTTGACGTTCACCTCCTTATCTAATTGTTCTCTGGACTCTTTTTCTTGGATATTTCTTAAATATTCCAGGTTACATTTGGCTTCCATCACGTGCTGGAAGTATTTGAGAGATTCTTCGTTCCGATCTCTACTCGACCGCTCCATGAGTCGTCTGAATTCCGTTTCCAACTTCAATTGATCCAGGGCTCTCATTTCTTCTTCGTTATCCATATTTTTCTCTTGGATCTGTTCGTAATCTTGACTAGCTCCTGGCGAGGCGAGGCCGTTTTTCTTGTAGAGCGGCAGTAATGAAGTTTTGTGGAGTGCTCTCGCCTCTTGAAGTTTTAGTATCTGATGAAGCGCCAGATTGTGCTCCGGCCCGCAGCCGCTCCATCTTTCCGCGCTGCCCGATTGCGATTCCTATAACAATAAAACGAACCATATCAATCAAGTATCCAACACGTCATATCTTTATAAACGTCTCGTGTTATTCAAAGCGCCATCAGTGGCCCATAATCTCGCTGTTGATTCGATTAAATTAATTCGAATGTATCCGCCTTTTATAATAAAGTCTAGAGCAATTTTAAAGACAGGTTGTTCTAATGCCTCCTCAAACTAACTATCGGGTCGACAAACCACACCTTGCGTTTTCAAAGGCTAATGTCGAATTAATTCCGAGAACGGAGAGCAATTGGGTAAAATTGTGTAAAATGACGGTTTGGAATCGACTCGAGAATAGAAAAGTGGTCTGTGTCGCGTGTTGAGAACGATTTAATACCGAAACTAAATTACTATTCATTTGGTAAGTATTTGGGGCTGGTTTACATTGTCAAACACGCGTCTCGCTTCATTTAGACACTCCTAAACTTAATGCTGTTATTAGCTTCATAAGTTCTATTCAATACTTAGATTGTAATACAAAATTTCAAGATAAATGAGAAAAAATGCTAAATTTAAATTCATTGTAAGTACTTATCGTTTGTTTTAAACAAGAAAATATATTATATATAATGACACAGTTATATAATGTTTTATATGAATACATCATGTTGTAGTAACATATTATTTGGTTGTTGTGTTACACCGTTTGTCACTCTATTACACCGTGTAACCCAAACCCGTCTCCCATATCATTATACATTTCTGGGGAAAATTATATTGTCGTTTGCTACACCGTCAGTAATTTTAAATCCTAACAAAAAACACTAAACTTTAATTCCACAAAACGGATAAACACAGGATAATAAAGTGTCGTTTAACTTAAACATAGCTCTGTTTGAATTAAATTGAAGGGTTTTAGGAATCCGCTATTATAGAAATATTGTTTATTTCTTACTAGCTTTCCGCCCGCAGCTTCGGCCGCGTGAAATTTGTTTATATCGCGTTTCCAAGAGAACCTTTTAATAGTCTGGGATAAAAACTATCCTATGTTCATTCTCAAGGTCAACTTTATCTCTGTACCAAATTTCATTAAAATCAATTCAGTGGTATAGACGTGAAAGCGTAACAGACAGACAGACAGAGTTACTTTCGCATTTATAATATTAGTAGGGATTGTTTATTTCTCATGTGATGTAATGGTGTACGAAAGTAAACACGTAAGTACGTAGGGTCAATGTCCAGACACAAATGATTTAACATTTGAACCTTAACACAACTATATAACTATCATATTTAAACGTTATATTAAAATCGCAATATCTGACCCACGCCTCCCGAGTTATGGACCAGCGGACATATTTTGCGGCATTTTTCATAACATTCACACGATATTATGCTTTATTACGATCATTATAAAGACTGTTATGCCATATATGTTATAAATGCTCGGAGTCATCTTTTTTGGCTGGTTGTGATTATACCATATTGTTCGAGATACTCGGACGGGTTTGTAACGCGAAATATTTTTCATTTTTAATAATTTTTCAGCTGTCAATAAGCGGTGACGTCACCATTGATTAATTGAATAAGTTTTTTATTGGAAATGTAATAATATTGATGTTAACTAAAATATTTAAAGAAGTATTGAATACATTTTTTGTTACAATACTAAGTGTTTCACCAGGTTTCGTTCGCATGGACTTTAGAAAAAGACTTTAGAAAATAGTGTACAGCAAATATGGCGACCAGCGATATTAGCGACATCTATAGTATGCGTCTTGTGACTTAATTTTTAACTAAATGGAATTCTGAGATAAATTATATTCTACGTCTTATTCTATTCCCTAATTTATATTACTATAAACTACATATATGTATGTAGTTTAAAGATATATTAATAGAGCTTACAGTAACTGTATACGCATAATTAGATTCATCCATAATTATCAAATCCCGGGTCAAAATCATTGATTCATTTAACAAGATAAACTATAACACCTAAAAAATACATATTTTTTTAATTAAACTGAACAATATAACAAAATAATATGAATTAAATACGTTTTAAATGAATTTTTAAATAAAATTATTAATCTTTGATACGTGATTAGTAAATATGGTATCATTTACATGGTGTACAGATCACAATAACTCATGTCATTGTTAGTATGTATGTTTGTATGTTTGTATCAATATTTGTCGTTACCGCAACAATAGACGTGGGCGGGTTTAATTGAATTAACATTGTGATTCATTTAGAAAGTTATATATATACATCACGAATTATTCAGTTTGTTTGTTCATTATATAAAATTTATCCACAAGCGCGGCCGTATGCAACAGCTAGTGTTATAAAGTACGTACAGATATGATCTAGCACCCGGAGCTATAATTTGAAGTTTTAAGCCATCTTTAATGTCATTTAGTACCGCATATAAATTGTCCCATTAGTTTTAATATAATATATTATATTATGTTCCTTCATATGCCATAATAATATATCGTGGACAAGCATGGCTTATCTTAATCTCGGCTTAACTCACCTCATGGTGTTGTTATGGTGTCGTGTTAATCATAATCGGATATACGGAGGTCAAACGACGATTTAACTTTAATATACAGTATAGTTTACATAAATATAGCTTTATTATACACAGATTGGTGTTTTTTTAGTTAATGATACGCTCGGTTTTATCCAATAAGATAAAAAATATTATAACTACACTTTCGTTAATCCACAAAAAATCTTGAATCCACAATAACCAAGATTTTACCCACTTGTACCTACCTATATTATAATTGAGTTATTTTAACTAATACACTGATTAATGCATTCCCAAAGAGGGTTGATGACAGGCAGGCGGCCGATAATAAAAACCATAGCCAAAGCTATTCACAATGTAAGGCAGACCCTGGCTAAAGCTGGGAAATTGCCAGAAAGATGAGTGTTAATTGTAGTACAAGTCTAACCTTATAATCATCTTCCCACCATCTTTTCACGAACATATTCAGTTTGGTCAAACTATCATCAATATCACCGTTCATTATAATTATTATAAACTTCACTGTTCACTTGATTTTTCACTGAGATGTGTCCACTTCAAAAGGACTGACCGACTGTGACATTTACTAGTTACCACGGGCCTAACTAGACTGGGCGGTGGGGATTGACCCTTGACCATTTTACCTGTTCTTTACCTGGTAATCATGACAATAGAACAAAGGACACTCAAAGATAATCCTGTTTGGGATTTGGAACCAAATTTTAGCACGTGCACCATTAAAACTGTTTCTATGTCATAAAATATAAATATATTTGTACTTACAAAGAGATGTTTGGTATCAAATAACAAAATTAATGATGAAGAAATCGAATTAAGTCACTTGAAAATAAAAATGATCATTTAATTTTAACCGTGACTTCGTTTTGAATTAGTAGGATTTAATTTATAATCCATTTTGAAATTACGTATGTATTTAAATCTTAATTTTAAAATCATGTTAATTATTCATATATATGTTTAATATTCATATATTCATATGTTTTTCATTTGAATGTCAAGACGGGATTCCCTACTGGAGGATGTATGGCTTTGTTGGGACGATCACGCGAAAATGATGGCTCGGTTTCGATGAAGCTTTTATGAAGGATACGAATGAAATAGGAAAATATGTATATAAAAAAAGTCGTGTTAGTTGCACTATGTATAACTCAAAAACGGCTGTACGGGTTTGACTGAAAATTGGTGGATAGATGAAAATTGGTGGATAGATAGCTTAGAACTAAGAAAAGGATATAGGATATTTTTCATCCGATTGAAAATATGTAACTAACCCAAACGAAGTCGCAGACAAAAATAAGTTTTTTATATAGATTTTAAACACTTTGTACATAGTTAAGCAACATTAACGTAAAGTTAAATTTAACAAATCCACATAGTAACATTCTAATATAAGGATATTGTTTTAAACTAAAGTAAGTTGTTTCTTAAAAAAATAAAATGCACAATTCGCAACGATTCCATGAAAGCGATAATATTGCGAAAAGGAGTGTCTATTGTGAAAAAAAGATGTTTGTTTTAATGTATTTATGACACAATTGTTGAGATGAAAGCCAGCCGCCTTTGAGTTCGCCGCATGTAAGACACATTGATAACAACAAAGGCAGCTGATAAGGGACTAAAATAACCTTTGCCTTCGCAAAACTATTGCGAATGTACAATAGTTTTATGATTTCGGGAAGGTTGCGTGACCTGGTATAGGAAAAGACAATAAAATGTAATGAATAAGAAACCTAGTACAACCAATATGAACATTGTTATTTAGTCTTATAAAGAATAATGAAGTTAAAAACTACAAAAAACTTATCTTTGTACTATTATTAGTGGAAAAAACTCGGAATATATGATGCTAGAATATGTAAAATATTTGCGGGTTTTGTAAAATGAGTAATTAAACAAAATATCTCGCAAAAATAATCGAAATTAATCTTCTGTAACAAATGTTATTTTGAATATAACCTAGTTAAAATAATATTATAGTTTCTTTAAAGAATATAAATGTTTTTATATTATATGTAGGTATGTTTTTACTATATATTAATGATAATTATAAAAGGGACGTTAAATTTTCTCTCATCGCAGTCGTTTCTGCCAAGTCTATCAGATATAGCCAGCTCGAGGCTGTTTCGCACCTAATAATTTCTTAGCAATTATGATTTTGACGTCTTATATGCCACAGATACGGTTAGATTTATGTGCTAAATGTATCGTTAGTATTTAAAATATTATTAACAAAATATATATATATATTTAATATATACAGATTTATTTACTTTTTATTTTCTATTTATAAAAGCTGTATAATTAATGTCTAATGATTCAGTTTGAAATTTTGAATTGACATAAAAAAATTGGTTTAAAAAAGAGGGTTGAAACTATGAAGGTTTTATATGAAACTTATTTTAAATCAAATATATATAATAGTATGGTTTTATTTGATATTAAATGTTCGTATTAATCCGTACAGACAGATTGTACTGTCGTTTATTAATATAAATATATGTGATTGTATCAGTGGGCGGAACTGTTATTGTTGTATCAGTTAGGTTACAATTTATTGTTATAGTAACACTGTATTGGGAAATACAACGAAATCACTTGTACGTACAACTGTTCCGTGTGATAACTTGAAATGCATATTAGGTACCTACCTATATACCTACTATATTATTATAATTCAAAATTAACTTCTGTACTTAGCCAGGTTTAGCTTTAAGTTTTCATATTGCTTTACTTATTCTACATTTTATATTGATAATAAAAATTGAAAGCTTTTATATCATGATACCTTGTTTTACTGTGAAGTACGTAAGTAAATATTTTGAATTTTTTTTGTAAATCCAATTTATAATTATTTTCAATTAAACAAATATTATCGTACGATATCAATATAGTTGAATTTATTTAAAAATTAGATAATGTATTACGATCTTACATACCTACTTAATAAACGTTTGTATTTAATTTGTAAATATGTTAAGAAAGCTGACGATAGATGGCGCTACAAGTCAATGTGGTTCATGAAATATATGAAAAAATATTTAGTTTCAATAACTCCACTGTTTATATAGATTTGATTGTTTAAATATTACATACAAGTCTTCATTCGTGTTAGTAATAATAATTAAGGTACTTATGTATAAGTAAATATATTGTTTGAAAAATTTATTAATATCTAATGTTAAAGATTTTCTCTAGTTAAAGAATCTCATTGAAACTAAATATAAAATATACGTATTAATATTTTAATTTTGAAACAAGTTTTCCGTAAACAATTACGTTCCGTACAGATCTCAGTGAAACGCTCGCCTCCGGGTGATTGCTAAGTAACAAATAAACACCGAAACTAAAAAGATTTAAAACACACTGTCATTAAGAACGTGTTGAAGAATGGGAAGCATTACATATATTATAATATATATATATATAAAAATCAGCAAAATATTGAAAATATAACTATTGATACGAAATAATAGGAATAATTGATTGATTATAAAAAGTATACATTAGTGAAATAAAAACATATATCAATAGAAATGTCTTATGTATGTATTATATTTATAATAATTATATTTTTAATATTATATCTGTTAATACAATAACTATGAAGCTTAAATACAAAGAATTCAGCCGGCGGCGATACGGGATCACACGCAGAGCTCAAATTATATACTATTATATACAAATATTATTTATATATATCAATAAATATTAAATATTTTGTGGATATACTACGCATCTTTAATTTTGATAAAAACTACATACACACAGAGTATGTACTTTATATCAAAAAATAAAGTCGCGTAGAATATCCGTAAGATATTAGTTTCATTTAAATGAATACTTATAGTTTAATTTAAATGAATACATCATAATAATTCTATATATAATATTAAATGAAACGCATATATTAATATGTGTTCAACACATGTATAATGTCAGCGGTCGGTTATCCTAAAATAAATGTACATAAACAACACAAATCCTTCGCGAGTTCTCGATGACTCTCCAATGTGTTTATAGATCACGTCTGCTTAATATCGTTAAAAAATACATTTTTGATGTCTTCATTTAAATATAACTAACATATATATACTTTATATTTATAATATATGTTTGTTCTTCTTCTTCTAGCTGGCAATGTACCAGCTTTAGCCAGAATCTGCCTTACATGTTGTGAATAGTTTTGGCTAATTGTTTTTATTATCGGCAGCCTGCCTGACATCAACCTTCATTAATTGGGAATAATATATGTTTGTTATAAGATCAGTCTAGTTGGAAGTTTTAAAATTAATCATTGTAGAGGTAGAGAAAGATTAGAATGAAAAAATCATCAGATTTTGTGTATCATTACAATAACTATTGGATACATATATTATAAATTTGGTTATTCATATTAAAGTATTGATTTCATAAAGATAATAATAATTCATATACAGTTAGTACGAAAACTTGAACGACCTCCGCGTCGCTAACTTTTCGGTTTAAGTATTGTATGTTAAATAAAATTGTTGATGGTTTAATATTTAGTAAGAATGATAAATTATATATGTAAATGTATAACAATAATTAAATAGGTTTGATTTATATTATACTTATACGAGATGACAAACAATGGTGTATGGAAGAAGTATTATTAATGAGACTAAATTATGTTTGAAATATTGAGTTATTTTTTTATATATAATGATCTGTTTTAAATATATTTCATATCATTGTTATAAAAATATTAATTATAATACATTGAATTAGCTAATTCTGACTTACATGTAGGTACAGTCAATTCCAATTTAGTTTTAAAGATATACACGAATCTATTGTTTTAGATATGACTCGCGAAATTATCAGATATATCAAGAATAAATATAATTTAAAATTTAAATAATATTTATTATATACTGACCTGAATCATGAAGATTTATTATATTATAGATACACCGAACATTCATACACTGAACACTTAAAACATCTCGCACATACACACGTCTGTCTTTGAAGCAGTCGAGACGGACACTGGATGATGCGCGGGGCGAGGGGGCAAGGATGACGAGGAGCAGCCAGGACACGAGCGACAGAGACGACTACAGTGTGACACTTAAAAAAATATAACACACGTAAAAAATACCTCTAACACATTACGTATAAGGCGCATATTTGTATCACGAGGCATCTGTCTCAATGACGCTGGGACGGCTTTAAAACTATGCGGATAGAGGTGATGTTTGTGTGTCAGGTTAGAGCGAGACGAGTGTAAGAGGTGTCACCGAGAGTTTTAGGAGGGAGACCGGCGAGATACTGGCGACACACGGAGGAATCTAGACTAGAGTAGAACTCAGTACGTGCTACAGACGTACTAACAGAATACGTACTGTAGATTAATGAGAAAAATGACGTTGGTCATATAAATAGGTAATAAATATTCAATAATCAATCAGATTTTTTATATAATAAGGAAAATGAATGATAAACAACACTTAAAATTAA